TTATTTTTGCGTATTCCTGTTGTTCGTGACTTTCATTTTTTCCGAGCTTATCTACGTCGGTACATTCCAGTTTGCTTGTTTATGTCTGTCAGTAAATTTTGAAGCGTGTTTCTCTATCTTGGTCTGTAACTTTCATTTTCTGAGGAGTTTACCCTTGTCTCTACTTTTGAGCTTCTACCTCAGTCGTCCCTATATATTTAACGATTTTGAAGCAAAAACATAGACTCATTAAAAGAACATTCGTCTTCAATAAACTTATATGATGGTAATTTTTCTCTTATCCTTTAAACTTAAGTCCAGTGTAACGAGACACTGTCGATGCTTTTGTATTCTTGAAACCGAGAGAAAGGGAAGTGGTGAGTGTTTAATTACTGTGCTAGTGGTTGCACTTTCAAACAAAATTCTGACCTTAATAGCAAGAACATATTTCTTGAAGTCACTAATCATATTTCCATGCCAACAATATCTAACTGCAAAACAATGACAGTCCTATTTCACTTTGATCTAAAACTTTGTCTTTCTGAANATCCACGGCTACTTTGACAATGTTGTGACGAAATTCATGATCAATAACAGGACCGAACGCATGAAAAACTAACGTCAATTTGTTAAATGGATCAGCAGACTTGATTCCAAATTTGTGTCCTCTTTTATTCTATGTTTCATTCAGACAGAAGAGTTCGAAATGAACAACGTAGACGAAGTTATACAAGTCATCTCAGTTGGACTCGTTGTTGCTGGCTTCCTTCTAAACACCAATCGATTTCTAAAAGGCGTCGAATTATGCAAGGAATGTTTGTTCCTTCTCAAAGACAGAGCAGGTTTAAAAGACGAAAAACTAAGTAAATCATTCTACAAGAGGATAAATTTTACAATGTGGAAGGCTTGTAGTATTATCAGAGATAACACAAGCGCCATAGAATATGCAGACCAACTTCTCCAAATTTACCGTGAAAGCGGCGAAAGACTTGAAGAATATAAGCTGAGCATAGATCTTGTACAAATGTATCGCAATCAAAATAACTACGCGCAAGCAAAATTACTCTCTGAAAAAGCACTCCGAATCAGTAAAGAACTTGGAGATAGAAATAAAGAAGCATCCTGTTACATAATCCTTGGAGAGGTGTTTACATCAGTTGGCGAATATCACAAGGCGAGAGAACATCTCGAGAAATCACTTGTGATCAAGAAAGAAATTGGAGACAGAAATGGAGAAGCAAGCTGTTACACAAACCTTGGAAATGTGTATAGATCAGTTGGCGAATATGACAAGGCGAGAGAACATCTCAAGAAATCACTTGTGATCAACAAAGAAATTGGAGACAGAAATGGAGAAG